CTTATTCTTCCTCATTTTAGTCAGATTTGCCAGGGGCTTGTCATTCTTGTTCATTTCTTCAAAGAACCAGCTCTTTGTTTCACTGATTTGTTTTTTCCTTTGGCCTCCATTTCATTAATTGCAGACCTTATTTTTATTATTTCTCTCCTGCTTGCTTTGGGTTTTGCTTGTTCTTGTTTTTCTAGGAGTTTGAGATGTAGCATTAGGTTGTTTATTTGAGATCTTTCTGTCCTTTTAATATATACACTCATGGCTATAAACTTTCCTTTTAGGACTGCCTTTGCTGTGTCCCATAGGTTCTGGTAGGTGGTGTTTTCATTTTCATTAGCTTTTAGGAACCTTTTGTTTTCCTGTCTTATTTCTTCTATGACACACTGACTGTTAAGCAATGTGTTATCCAGCCTACAATTATTTGCATATTTTCTGCTGTTGCTTTTGTTGTGGAGTTCTAGTTTTAATATACTATGATCAGATAGAATGCAGGGGATTATTTCTATTTTCTTATATTTGCTGAGGCTTGCTTTGTGCCCTAAGATATGATCTATTTTGGAGTAGGTTCATGGGCTGCTTAGAAGAATGTATATTGTGATGTTGTTGGATGAAATATTCTGTAGATGTCAGGTCCATTTGATTTATTGTGTCATTTAGTTCTAGGATTTCTTTGTTGATTTTTTGTTTGGATGACCTATCTATTGGTGATAGAGGATATTAAAGTCTCCCACTACCATTGTATTGGAGTCTATATATGCTTTTAAATCCTTTAGTGTACGTTTGATGAAACTGAGTATGCTGATATTGGGTGCATATAGGGTGATAATTGCTATTTCCTTTTGATGTATTGCCCCTTTTATTAGTGTGAAGTGTTCTTCTTTATCTCATTTGACCAATGTAGGTTTGAAGTCTACTTTGTTTAACATAAGTATCGCTACTCTGCCTGTTTTCTGGGGCGATTGGCTTGGTAAATCTTCCAGCCTTTCACCCTAAGCCAGTGTTTATTTCTGTCAATAAGATGGGTGTCTTGTGAGATCTTGTTGGATCTTCCTTTTTCATCCAGTTTGCCAAACGGTGTCTCCTGATGGGGAAATTGAGTCCATTGATATTCAGTGTTAATATTGATAGGTATGTGGTGATTCCGGCCATTTAGTTGTTTTTGTTGTTTAAGGATTTGATTGTGTGCAGTCAAATCAATGCTATTCTCTGATTACTTGCATGTTCTTCTCCTGTAGTTTGATACTTCCTGTCCTCTTGTGGTTTTGTTTGTTTTCATTTTCTGTGTGCAGAATTCCTTGTAGAATCTACTGCAGTTGTGGGTTGGTGGTCATGTATTGTTTTAGTTTCTGTTTATTGTGGAAGATTTTTATTGCTCCATCAAGTTTGAATTATAGTGTTTCTGGGTACAGTCTCTTAGGGCTGAAGTTATTTTCATTCAGTGCCTGAAATACCTCACTCCATGCCCTTCTTGCTTTTAAAGTTTCCATTGAGAAATCTGCTGTTATTTTGATGAGTTTACCTTTATACATTATTTGTTTTTTCTCTCTTACAGCCTTCAATATTCTTTGTCTGTTCTCTGTGCTTGTTGTTTCAATGATAATATGCTGTGGGGAGTTTCTATATTGGCCAAGTTTGTTTGGTGTCCTGGAGGCTTCCTGTACATGAATGGGCAAAACTTTCTTGAAATTTGGGAAATTTTCTGTTATTATTTTATTGAACATATTATATATGCCTTTGGCTGCTTCTTCAATGCTCGTGATTCTCAGGTTTGGTATTTTGATGGAGTCACTGAGTTCTTGCATATTCCTTTCACAGCTCTTGACTTGTTTGACTAAGATTTCTTCTGTTTTTTCTTTAATTTCTAATTTATCTTCAAGCTCTGAGAATCTGTTTTCCACTTGTTCTAGACTGTGGAGTGGCCTTCCACTATATTTTTTGTTTGACTAAAGGGACTTTTTATTTCCAGGATTTCTGTTTGATTCTTTTGTCTGAGGTTTTCCATATCTTTGTTTAACTCTTCTTTTATGTTTTGTGTTGTCATCTTTTATTCATATATCCTTTTTTATAGTGTCCTTTGTTTCACTTTGGTGTTTGCTGAAGTCCTCTCTGAGTTCCTTTATTTGTTTCCGTGTCTTTTTATGTTCTTTACTTTTGGTGTCTCGAAATTTCTTGAGTGTATCTTGTACATTCTGATTAACCATGTCTAGTATCTTCCAAAATTTCTTCATTGAGGGTTTTTATGTGGGTTTAACTGGGCTCCTTAGTGACATTTATCATTGTTTTGTTGAGGTCAGGAACTGGGTATCCATTTTCTTCATTTCCCACTGAATCCTGTATTGAATTATTTTTTTGAGGAGAGTGGTTTCCATCCCTTTTTCTTCTTCCCATTGCTCCAGCTGGTGCTATGCAGCTATGTTTTTGACAGGCTAGTTGATGGTTTTGATTGCCTGATTTCTTTCCCTGATTTAATTTTTGTATTGTGACTGACTTGGTTGTTAGCTATGTTGATGTGCTCTTTTTGTCCCTGGACTGGAGGTAAAATATAGCAAAAACAAATTCATAGGTTCAATGACAGACCAGTTGTTTACATATTATTTAAAAAACCCCTTGATGATAATATCAATAAACAGTGGGAGTTGAGGCTGGTGATGGTTATTAGGTTAGTTATAGATTTTGGGAAATTGGTAAAGGTGGTACTAAAAAGGGATGGTGGGAAAAGGGATGGGTGAGTGGGGGAAGAGGTGTGGGGACTGCTGGGTTTTGTGGCCCTTGTGTGTGTTTGGGTGTATTTCTGTTGTTGTAGTGGAGGGACTGCAGGGGGGAGGGCTGTGGTTGTGTATAGTTGGTACAGTGGGCTAGTCAGCAGGTGGAGAGTGTATAGGAGGGAGGGGTAGTGAGGTGACAGGTTGGAGGATGATAGGAGGGGAAGGTGAGATGGAGGAAAGAGTGGACAAAAAAGGACAGAAAGACTATTCGGTCTGCAGCTTCACATAAGCAACTTTTGAGCTGGCTGGTGGGGAGAAATGCCCACTTTTTTCAGTGCAGCATGGTGCAGGGAGGCTTTCCATGGGCGAGGGGTCCAGGATGTCACAGAGTTTGATTCTGATTGATGCTCTGTCTTCTGCTTGTTGAAAGAAGCAGAAAAAAAAAAAAAGAAAAGAAAGAAAGAAAACAGAAAGAGAAACGGCAGGGGCACTTTTTACCCAGGGCCAGAAGTCAGACACACCTTGCTGGCTATGCCATGCTGGATTTTTGTAGCTCTTAGGTGCAATTAGAAACTGATTTTAGGGTCAGTCTTTGAATTTTATCTGCACCTAATGTGATGGCAGTTATTCTTTTAGCTAGGTGCAATGAGAATTACCCAACTTTAGCTCCAATGTCTCAAGGAGGTTTCTGGCATCACAGAGCTTAGAGTTTCTGATTTCCTACCCTAGCCACCACTTTTGATCCTCCCTTTCCCCATTTTAAACTCAAACTTTGTTACTATTGAGATGTAGGGCATCATTATATATCTTGGATATTAACCTCTTTTTAGATATATGATTTGCAAATCTTTTCTCCCATTCTGTAGGTTGCCTTTTAATTGTTGATTATTTTCTTCCCTCTGCAGAAAATTTTTAGTTTGAAAAAATCCCATTCTTCTCTTTTTGCTTTTGTCATCTGTGCCTTTTGTATCATATCCAAGTAACTATTACCAAGGAAAATGTCAAGAAGCATTGTCCCTGTTTTTTCTAGGACTCTTATGGCTTTAAGTCTTATGTTTAAACATGTCTTTAATCTATTTTGAGTTGCTTTTTGTGTATGGTTTAAGATAAGGATCCCATTTCATTCTTTTGCATATGGATATCCAGTTTCCCCAGCACCACTTATTGAAGAGATTGCCCTTTCCCCATGTGTATTCTCTTCTTAGTACTCTGTGAAATATCAGTTGACCATAAATGGGTGGATTTATTTCTGGGCTCTCTATTTTGTTCCTTTTGTGTATATATTATACTAGTTTCATGTGCTTTTGATTACCATTACCTTTGTAATACACTTTGAAATCAGGAAGTGTGACGACTCCAAATTCTCAATGAGAAATATGTAATATTTGTATACAATTGAATATTATTCATCCTTAGAAAAGAAGGAAAGCCTGCCATCTGTGACAACGTGGATGAACTGAAGGGTATTATGCCAAGTGAAATAAGCTAAATACAGGAGCACAAATACAACATGATCCCGCCTACCTGAGGAATCTAAAATAATCAGAAGCAGAGAGTAAAATGGTGGTTACCAGAGTCTGAGGGGAGTAGAAAATGGTGTGTGGGAGGTATGTTGATCAAAGCTGCAAAGTTTCAGTCATGTAACTCCATAAAGAGACAGGAGGACTGTTTTGGAAGTGATGAATATGTAATATTGTATTGATTGTGGCTATGATTTCACAGGTGTATGTATAAAAGACATGAAGTTATATATATTAATATGCACAACTTTTTGCATGTCAATCATAGCTCAATGAAGTGGTTTATGAAATACTATATTTCACATGAATAGTAAATGTGCATTGAAGGTATTGAGAAACAGAGCCTGGTGGTCACATTTCTCCAGGGAGCATCACAGAACGGAGGAAGAATGACTATGTGTTAAGAAACCCTTAAGAAGCAATAGTGGGACATTCACATATATGACATTCTTTGTGCCACAAGTAAAGACCCTTGCTTGATGGTTCTACTTGTACTTATGCAAACATATGTCCAGTTCATTTTCAAAGAAAATGCTAACTGGGACCGTCACACAGATGTCACTATTCCTTCATGATGGATGAATATTTTGTTCTTTCTCTGTACAATCTTATGTTTAGCTATAAATAGTAATGCATCTACTAAAAATGTGTGGCTCTTTTCTTAAGGAACTCTTAGCTCCTGCTGCACCAGTAGGCAATAATATAATGTGTTGAAATTATTATAATCGATTAAAATACTATCGATCTGCAAACACAGCATGCCCAAACACAAGGCCATAGCTACCTGGTGGCAAGAAGAGGATATGAGTGAACTGGGCTGAACCAGGCTTCCTTCCTCCTTGGCATGCTGTCATAGATTAAAAGGTCTTTCTCAGTCAGAACAACCAGGGCTGGTTTCCACTGTTTCTCACTCTCGCCTGGCACCTGAAACAGAAATCAGAGAACTGTCAAACAACAGCTGCAGAACAGAGTGATTGGAAAAGGGAAGCTGGCATTCCCTCCATTGGAAGCCCCAGCAATTCGAGTGTCTTTTTGGTTGAGGATGTACAATCAAAATGGAAAGAAAAAACACAATCATGACCCCAATGATTCCTAATTCTTGAAACTATGTGATTCTCAAGGGCCCTGTTCTGTACAGTGAGCACAGCCAAGAAGCAGCCCATCTGCTGCACATCTGTCATTGGTTCTCACCTGCCAGTCAGCACTGAATCTTTATTTCCCAGTGGGAGGCAAATGCCTGGGAGAATCCACACTTCCAGCTTATTCTCTAGAACAGTACATTTTTTACTATGAAAAATTTTTATTAACTATCTAAAGACACTGAAAAATATATTATGGAGGCTAATGTCTATGCAGGCAGACGTGAGACATCACAGCCTCTATGTGTTTTACTCTTAAATTGCTTCTATGACGTAGGCACCATTGCCAAGTTTCTCTTCTCCTGTTGACTATTCAGTTCCACTTATGAAAAAGTTCTTTAACTCAAAGGCCAGATGACGAACAGGAATGCAGGGATGTGAGAGGACTCAAGCATCATTTGTATGATGATTGGACCATGTACACTATAACATCCCTTACAATTCTGAGAATTTGTGGAAACCTGCTCTTATTTCATGAGCCATCCCTCTTAGCTCAGTGTTAACCCTCCCATTCCCCTAAATGTTTTTCTGTTTATGAACATACTTTCCTTCCAGTTTAAATTCTGGACCTCCAGATTCATCTTTAAGCTTTGGTTAGAAAAACTCAACGCTCTGATCTTGTTTCTCAAAACATGGCCTGTGTTCCAGCCGCATCAGCCTCATCCAGGTGCTTGCTAGAAATGCAGTCTCTGGCCCATACACACCTCCAGAATCAGAATGTGCATTTTAACAGGACCTTCAAGTAATTTGTGTGTTCATTAAAGATTAAGAAGCACTGCTGTACATGTCAAGATTGCCTTCGACACTGCTAACTAATTCAATGAAGACAATCCTCTCACAACAAGCCACAACTCAAGATCTTTTCAGAATTAAAGGAGATAGTAAGCAAAATACACAATACAGCTAATTTCTTCAGTTTCTACTTACCAATACCATATCATAAGTACCAGAGTGAAATGTTTATCAAGGTGGAACCATGTATATATGGCTTTTGCTTTACGCTAACATTCATAACCAGTACTGACCAGTGCATTAGGAACGAGTGATCAAAGTAGAGAAGACGTGCAGCTTGGTGAACAAGGTGACTTTTGTAAATTCTATATAAAGACAGCCTGAACCTGAATGTCAGTCCATTATTTATGTCCCATGTGAAGTTATTTTTCTCTGTGCTTCAATTTCCTGACTGAAAAGGTAACATCACACCCAACAGAAGTTAAAGCCTGCTTACTTTGTAACCAGACTGCCTGCGCACTAATCCCTGATCTATAGTTTACTCGCTGTAAAGTCTTGGGGAAGTCAGCTAGCTCCTTTGTGTCTCAGTTTCTGTATCTGTAAAATGGGAAATGATAGAACCCATAGCAGGGGCTCCTGTAACGACTGACTGAAATACAACCTATAAAAGGCTAGTGCAGTGCAAAGCCAGCATCATGCAGCACTTCCTCCTCTTGCTATGGTGGGGATGGATGGGTCAGAGTGCACGATGGGGTTAGGAACTGGCAGATGGTAAGAGCCCAGTAAAACTTAACATGGGTGGCGGAACTACCAGCTGTTTAAAACATCTCAAAAAAGGCATCCTTTGAAAATGCATCACTATGACACGGTAACGACTTTCCTTGAGAAAAATTGTAATGCAAGCTAAAAAAATATTTTGAAGCTGACAATTTTAGTAGCTTCTTCTCTCTCCTTTCCAAAGTTCTCCCAGGAAGAATTCATTGTACAATGATCATGTTTAGTTTTTAATGTCTCCCTGCCAACAATCCCAAACAAAAACTCCTTTTCTAAAGAATATCCACCCCTGCTTGTTAACGATAAAGCTATTTATACTAGAATGTGAATGACTGCCTGGCTTATTTCCCCCTTTATATATTTTATGCACATTTTCTAAATCTAGCTTTAGCTTATTTCTTTTGTAAGAAGACTTTCTTCAACAGAATAAAAACATCTTGAAGAGACCAAAATGGATTGTTCAAGAAGGCAATGTGCCAGACCTTACAAGGTGAATAAGTTATAGTCTCAAGACTTAAAATATTGCGGGGAAGGGGGGGTGGCTGAAAATAAATCTTTTCCAGCTTCTACATTAAACTTAGAAAATTACTTTTCCAGCTCATTAACTAGGACCGGAGAAGCTACAAATGATCCTCCCAAAATGACTATCTTACTTACCTAGTCAGATCTGATTCATTAACTTTGACCGTAATTGGTCATTTCACTGTGAACAAGACAATGCGTTATTCCTCAGAAACCATGTTAAATTCAAAATAAACCTCCCCGGTGAACACTGAGGTGCTTCTCTGTCCTGCTGGAGTCACAAACACAGTCACATGCTGAGTGGTACGTGTAGGTCTGAATAAAGGCCTAAATGGTTTATTCGAGAGCCCTGTGCGGATATGTTAATCTATGCTTGAGAACACGCCAGGGGCATTTCCCTCCATCCCTGGGTGCAGAGCTGTCATTTTAATACTATGTAAAGGATTGAGGGCTGCAGGTTGCCCATGAGAACACTGGCTTTGCAAGGCAAAAAAGTCACAGTGATTTTAAAAGCCATACCTGGTGCTAGGCATGCCCCACACTTAAGCCTCTGAAGTACAAATTTCATCAGGCTCAAGAATTTGTACTATTGGTTTCATGACAACTTGTATTATAAGTCCAGATTTCCTGGCACCCACAGGTATTTCAGCATTAATGAAACAGTCTGGGGATGTGTCTGCATTTTGTTAAACTTTGATGCCTGAAGCGGAAGACTTCCCTTCGGTCACAACATCCTGTTTTGGATGCTGTAGTCATTGGTTTCTGAAGAACTAAGCATGTTTTTAATGAAGAAAGCAAAGGAAGGGAGATGGGTAGACATTAACTTCTGAAATGACTCTGAAGTGTGGCTTTGGTGAGTGGAGTCTTGTGTCCATACTCACTTTTGCAGAGCACAAGAGGAAAGATTTACTGAATGGTCCAAAGAATGCAGGGGCAGTGGCTTACGCCTGTAATCCTGGTTGCTCAGGAGGCTGACATCAGGAGCATCACAGTTCTAAGCCAGCCTGGGCAAATTGTTCTGCAAGACCCTATCTCAAAAAAACCCAACACAAAAAAGGGCTGGTGCAGTGGCTGAAGACTGTAGGCCTGAATTCAAACCCCAGTACTGGGAGGGAAAAAAAGAAAGAAAAAGAACTGTGGGGAGTGCAGACCTTGGGTCCTCCTTTTGAGACAGATCTTGTAAGTCTAGTTCAGTGACTTTCAAACTCCTTAAATTCAATGAACCTTCTGTTCAGATCAAATCACAAGTTGTAGAACTTTAAGTAAACCCACTGAGAGTCAGTGCATTGTAGTATCCTGTTGGGATCTTGGTACCTCAGTGACTTTAAGTCTTTATCCTACCACCACCCACACCTCTGAATAGGTTTGCTAGCAATCCCAATCCTTGGAACAGATTAAAAACTATTGATCATGTCTCCTCTAAAATATCTAAAATATGTAGACTGCATCCAAAGAGAGTTTCTATCAAAATCTTTCAGTGCCTTATGTTTTGGTTTTTTGGTAGTTACTTCCAAAGAAAAGAATGATATTGTTGACTCTAAGTCAGAATTGTAAGGATTAAATGAATTAATATACATAGAGGACTTGGTAAGCAAGCAAAAGCTTTAATATTAACTACATTACAGTATTCACTTATTACATTAAGAAAGGATAGTGAATATCAAATTAAAGATGTGGGTGAACTTGGACAAGAACCACTTGTTCTTGCTAGGTCTAAATTCCCTCATCTACCAAATGAGGAGGTGGGACTAAATTATTGCTAATGGCCTCTTCAACTTCAAAATTCTATCATTCTTAAACTTAAAGTTCTCTGCTAATTAGGCTCAAATGGTTTCAGTTACTAAGACTCTTGCTTTATGATTCTATTTCTTTTAGTTTTTTTTTTTTTTGGTAGTGCTAGGAGTTGAACTCAGGGCTTTGTGATTGCTAGGCAGGTACTCTACCACTTGAACCACTCTGTAAGCCCTTTATGCATTGGTAATTTTTGAGATAGGGTCTTGCTTTATGCCTGGACTGTGATCCTCCTGTAGTGTTTCTCAGTGTAGGTGTGATGACAGGCACACGCCACTGTACCCAGCTTACAAACTTCATGCCTGGGCTGGCCTCGAACCATAATCTTCCTGATCTCAGGCTTCTGAATAGCTAGGATTATAGGCTTGAGCAGTAGCAGTGCCTGGCCTCTAACACACATATTTCCTATCCTCTATTTGAACAGAGTTGGCCAAATGACCTTGTGGTCAGTAGAGTCAAAACACTGTTTCTTCAAAACATGGCATCGCCACTGAGGGATATGGATACACTACTGAACTACAATAAGCCCTTCTCTGATGTGTGACATGGCTGCCCAAGTCCATTTCATGAGGATAAAGTGGAGAAGGCACAGAAAGCACTTCTCATCTGGTAGGTACTGGAAATGTTCAATTTCCCTCATGGTTTACTTCAAGTAGACACTACCTCTCAGCTACACAGTTCAGGAAGCAAGGTCCAGATGTAGGGAGAGTGACAATAGCAAGTGAAATATATTATGAAAGGAGGCTAATCACAACTTTTATGTTGGAAATCATGGTTATCTGGACAACTTTTAAATTTGTCTATTTCACCTCAGCTTTCCAGGTATTGAGAACAAAGGACAAGATACCAGTGTAATAAATAATGAACATTTATCAACTTCAAATGCTTTACAACCACTAGATAATTAACACCAAGTCTCAGGGATGTAGATAAAGATCTTCTACACCTAAGCAAAAAAAATAAGGC